GACGARGTCGAGGTATCTCAATAGTATAAGTGAGCACTGCATGATCAGATGGTAGTTGAAATGAAACCTGTGGTGAAGTGATAAGAACATCAGATTGTCTAGCGATGACAAGATCAAGGGTGTGGCCATGTTTGTGAGTAGAGGTGTCAACGCTCTGCTTTAAACCAAACTGATCGAGGAGTTCAAGGAACTAGACGATCATGGATCGCTTACGTGGGCTTCCTGCGACAATGGTGTTTCATTTTCACAATATAGTCTTTGTTTGTAATAAGTCAAGACAGAATTAAGTTAATATGTTATCAATTTATTACATCATATTTTTTACCGAACTGAACTCTAAGTAAATTCTTTGGATACCATGTCTTTCTCAGTTTTCCAAAATAACTAGCTCGACTTTACGCTCAAGAGCGTCTATATTATTCAAAATATCTGATAGGTCATATAGGTCACATAAACAATAGAAACGGTACAGTCTTGGCAGTATAACTTTGAATAATATTTTGATCATTTGAATCATGTATCTGTATCTTGTGTTTCTGTTCTTTTTTATTTGGTGTTTTTCATCAATTTGTAAATCTGGCGTTCTGTGCCATCATAAAGGTGTACCTTAGCCTTCTAATGACAGTTCATATTTCTGGATTTGTCTAAATTTTTCAAGTTAAACAATCCACAATATAGATTTTGTATACAGAGTTCAGTAAAGCTCACACGTGCAGTTTTCCGAACTTCAAACACATCGTTAGTTTAGAAAATGGCATCATTTTTCAGATGAGGTTTGATATGCTTTCTTCCATCGAATGATTGTTTTCTGGCAAAGTATGAACCTTAAATATCCATGTGATTTCTTATTTTTGAAGATTTTGTGTTTGACATCGAACACTTGTGTGACGAAGAAGTAGTGCTCTTCGAGTCGGCGGTAGAAAATGCCCAGTCATTTCTGCACGAATCATCCGCTAATCTTGAATTATATACCTCAATCCATGTCGTTTGGATGGTAATCAGTTGATTTTTTAAGATTTTCAGCTCTTTAGAGCATTTTAGCTACATTTTAGAACCATTTGAAACGAGACAACTTTTTGCCGCCGTCTGTCAGCCATTTTGTTTTCATTCTGAGACTGCAGTCCATCTGCAACGCAGGCGCTACCAAAAATCGCTGATTGGTTTATTTTGACATCTCCATGGAAACTGAGACTG